ATCATCATCCTACCCCTGGTTGGATGTTGGTTTCCAGTGGCATGGGTTTTGGATGTAGTTGATTTGCAGAGTGTGGTCCATTGCGCCATAGCCACTCTACACTTGGGGTCACTTCCATTGTTTTTTCCCACACATTTGGATGTGCTCCTCTGTTTTTCTGCCCATATATACTACACCTTTCTCCAATGGGTGAAGAGTATACCTGGTTCAGATGTGGTGCTTTCTCCCACATCAGATCTTCAGATCTGACTCTCTCGTCTCGAGGTGAATCCTTCAGATGCTTTAGAAGGATGCTTCTTTTCTTCCCTAGCATTGATCCCTCCATCTATTCAGTGTGGGAATCTAATTATTTATGTGAGCGGAGGTAATGTACCATATCAGAAGTTATAATTTTCCTATACTGGAAATGTATTTCCAATAGGTACTTACCTCCCCTCACACTTCCTCCCCCACTGAAAACTAGTACTTCCATTTCTGCCAAAACTCAAAATGATAGTCTGGTAGAATGGAATATGGGGAGTCACATGCGTAACAAGAGTGTGTGGTACTCTCATTGGTGGAGGATTGTCCCATGAGACACACATTGGAATGAGTGATTTCCAATAAAGGGGAAGCACAAGGCTTGTGGCATGTGTAAAAAAAAATGTGCATATAGAGGGCAGAACTGAACGAGAATAGCTATTTATGTAAGAACAGGTAAGTACTTATTGGAAATACATTTTCAGTATAGAAAAATTATAACTTTACAAAATGACCTGTTTTGGCAGTGTTCTAGTGGACCAGTCATTTGTAAAATACAGTCACATTTTGGTTATAATATAGTGAATATGTACATACATTATTACTATTTACCAGTAAGTTCTTAAATTTCAATTATTTTTCTTAAAACATAGAACAGTAAATAAAGAAGTATAAAAAACATTTATCTCTGCTAGTTACAAACTTTGTACTCATTTGTTGCTCGCTGTAAGTTGCTAAGCCTTATAAAATTTCAGATGTGGAGGATGTAAAACAAATTAATTTTTTAGGTTTTAC